CTCTTTAATTATCTTTTTTCTTCAACTGTGAGATCATTTCTAGACTTATTGCAAATGCTTCATTTAATTAATTAATGTTCCTTTTTTTGTCTTCTTGAGACAGGGTTTTGCTATGTAGTTCAGGCAGACTTAAGGGCACCGTAGAAGTGTTTCTTGTAGCCATTTCCAACTTCTGAAAATTTCCAGGAGTACCCAATGAGATTCTACCAGGTACATGGTATTACCCACCTGAAATAAGCTTTTCCAGTTCTTTGCTCCTTGTGGGCTAGTTTATCATCTCAGTCTTTTCTTCAGTTGGCCAGGGCATTTTATTTTCCCATAGCTGCACCTTTCTGGTCTCATTTTTGCCTCCCTTTAACTTGCTCCTTTTGGCTTTCATCCTCACATTACGGATTATAACACTAGCGGGGGTATTCTTGATATTGGGGGATTTTAGAAATGCCCAACTCCCAGAACAGAAATATCTTTTTAACTGTGTGTGGATCTGTGGGGAACATGACATGCAACGTAAGTGTTGATTCTGGGTCATGCTAAAACCTGAAGTTTGTTTATTTCTCTAGGTCCTGAAAATTTGTGTGTCAGTATCTAAAGATCTCTGTTATGACTAGGTACCTTCTCTTGTCAATTTTTCTATGTCATAATCATTCTTAGTTTTTTATAAGCATTTCCTTTTTAAAATTTTTATTCAAAAACATATTGCTAAAAATTTCATAAAGCTGGGTAAAGTGGAACCTATCTGTAATCCCAGCACTCAGGAGGCTGAGGCAGGACTGCTATCTGGTTACACATTGAGTTCAAGGCCAGCCTGAACTACAGTAAGAGCATGTATCAAAAGATGAGTATTTGTTAAATGATTAAACCCAAACACGCACTTTACCATCTGTCTGATGTCCCACCACCCTGGAAGGCTGAGGCAGAGGGCTAAAAAGTTTGAGCTCAAGCAACTTAGCAAAACCCTGTCTCAAAAAAAGGGGCAGGCCGTAGTTCATCGTGAAGGTAGCTCATTCAATCCCCAGTAGCACACTTACAAAATCTAGGTGACTACTAGGTAGCAGATGCTACTTGTAAGCTACACAGTCATAGCTCCTGACCATGGTGAGTTCACTGTATGAAAGGAAAACAGGACACGTTAATGATATGGATGAAACAGGCCCTTTAGGGTACAGAACTGAATATGGGAGAGTTCAAGGAATACTTCTGAGGGTAAGAAGCGAAGAATGAGCCAAAGTTGGGTTGGCCAAGAAATTGGGAGGTATTTGATATATTCACTCTCTGAGATGTTCTCTATCTTTAACCCACGCTGCTCCTTTACCTTGCCTTAACCTTTTAGAAGGAGGCAGATAATAAGCTGGTCTCTACTAAGTTCATTATTCTGGTTACCTTAAAAGCAGCATTTTTAAAGCAATTGCCATTCACTATCGTTTTCAAACTAGTCAATCCTTTTCTCTATTTTAGTATCCTAAAATTCAGATCAGATCAAATGAAAGTCTTTTGTCCTTTCAGCCATTGTTTTCCCAGCCTGGTGAATCTTCTTGGGCTCCCACGAGTGCTTCAAAGTGGAGCGGGGTCTTGGCAGGCATCTTACAAAGGCCATGCACTAGTGCAGGAGGGCAGGTCCACCTATGGTAGATCTGTGTCCCTCAGGTCACCTCACAATGTTGATGCACGCAGTATCACTTTTGTATTACTTTCTGAATAACACTGCACAGTTATGCACCGCTGAACCAAACAGAGATCTCCCCTATCATTTGGGTTCACCCATGTAGTGCAGGGACTCATGTGCATCACTGTTTTCCATCTCTCAATTCCTTTCCTTCATAAATTTCTATTTAGAGGAACACAGTTTAGTTGTTTTTGTCTGTACAAGGTGTGATAAAAACTATGGCAAAAATGAAGCAATTATTTCAGCGGCAGACACACTGCCCTTCATCTGCCTCCCATATTCCCTTGCATGTGGAACGTACTTACGTGTTCTCTCGCATGACTCTTTGAAGCAGTTCTGGAAATCCTCTTTGATGAGTGTCTTTTTGCAGTTGCTTTGACATCCTGAGTCAATGGAAAACATCTGCAGCAATTTCTGCCCAATAAAAACATCAGAACTGTGCAGCTTCTGGCTCTTCCCTAGAATGAAAATGCACGAAGAATAAATGCTTCTAATTAACTGAAAATGAAAATGCACGAAGAATAAATGCTTCTAATTAACTGACTCGCCACAGCAGCACACCCTGAAAGGGGATTTCCCAAACTGCTCCTGAGAGAAACAATGTGTAAATGTATTTGAAGCCACTGAGAGTATTGCCAGGGGGATTAACGACAGTGACTTTTAACTGTAGTAAAACATTTCAGAAGTTCTATACATTACACATACATAAGTTTACATTTCATACATCTATATTTTTTAGTCACTCCTCATATGGCAAGCTTTCAAGGGCAAAGAGCTGTGATCTAGAATTCTTTTTAGGTTCGATCTGCTAAAAATGTTTAACAACTTAAAATGCTTACAAAATATATTTTTATCTGGAACACCTCAAAACCACGTTTACATTGGCAGGGTTTTGATCAAAGATGAAGAACATTAAATCAGCAAGTTTATAATACATCAAATCTGATGACCAAGGCTACCTCAGTTTCTTCCAGCCTAGAATGGCTTGTAAATCAAAAATATTATAGCCAAAAATTCTCCTCTTGACAGCCACACTGTCTGCACTTAGGGCTGGGAATGTCACTTAGTGTGTAGCACGGTACAAGGTTCTCAGTTCCATGCAAAGCAGCAGAGGACAAAACAAACAAATATCTACTCTCAGAACTATTTTTCTTTCATCAAGATAGCTAAAAGCATTTATTTACAACCACTACGATATACAGTTTTAATATACTGCGTCTTGAGTTTTGGGAAAACAGAAGAATAGTGCTATTTTTAACTTTTTCCTTTTCTGTGTTAATAGTTATGAACCTGAACTGTTTCCTGGCCTTATTTATAGAATGGTAAAACCACGAATTGTTTTGCTTATCTTCGTATCTGGGAAAGTTGTGCTGACAGGTAAATTCTAAAATAGTTTTACTTTCATAGAATTCAATAGCTATGTGCTTTGCTTTTCCTAAACAGCACCGTTCACCATTAGGTAACATTCTTGGTATTGTATACTACTGGAAAAACAAAAATCCCAATTCCTGAAATATAGAACCTGTTACTCTTACCTGAAGGCTTTCTGTGGCTGAGCGGTGTTCCAAGGGGTCTTTAGACCTTTTTTGCCTGAGGCTCTGTGGCCCACAGGGTCTCTACTGCACCACTGATCTGTACCTCTGCAGAGCAGAGACAGCTGTGGATGTCACAAAGAGAAGTGGCACCTAAATATGAATTTTTGTGTCACATAATAGTGTTTCTTTTTAATCTCTTCCCCACAGCTTAAAAATATAAGAACAATTCTTGGCTTAAAGGCCGATAAAAATAGTCAGCTGGCTGACTTTGGTCAGCAGGACTACATTTCCTGACCTGTGTTGTAGCAGATAGGGAATCAAACTTAATCTCCTATTGTCAGATTCTTGAGTGTTCTTTCTTTGTTTGCTTCTTATAAATAGTATAAACATTTGGCTATGTTTACACATGGGGAATTATTTTGTCAGAATGGATGCTCAGAAATGGAACTTCTGGCATGCCTGTAATCCTCAGCCTCCACTTGGGAGGCTGAGGCAGAAGGATCACTCTGAGTTCAAGGCCATCCTGCATTACATAGCAGGACCCTACTCAAAATATAAATAAAA